TTCAACGTCGGTGCGCAGTACCTCAAGATTGGCAGGAAAGCTCTATGCTGTGATACGGCCCATCTTCGCCGCGCATACCTTATTTTACATGTTTGGTTACTCAACACTGACATTTTTCCCGGCACATATATTCAAGCTCCTCAAACAATAGCATCACACCTGTTTCTTTCAATAGTGAACCCCCTATGGTATGGTTGAGGAGCGCTGATCCAGCGCGCGGAAAGGGAAGAGCCGTATAATAGCCTAGCATTAGAACTTACGGGTAAAGGTAAGCGCGACGAAGCAAGCAAAACAAGCAAAACATCGCTGTGTTAGCAAACAAGTTGGCTTCGCGAAGCGAATGGTACCTATTGTACCTGTGGCGACCGGCGCTAAAAGCATGGCGGTCTGTATCAAAAGCAGGGCACATCATTGGTTAGGGGTTTCAGAAGAGTTCATACGTCCCATCCCCCACCCACAAATTACAAATACCTACCCATTTTTGGGAGGGGGATTTTTAATTTGTACGACCCCCCCTCCGGCTCTCTGTCCCACCTCATCGAATCAAGCCGTCAAGCGGGCGGCTTGATATCTATCTACCTACCTACCGATTCTCAGAGCATGTATGACCCCCCCCCCTTTTACAACGTCCGTGAAACGAATAAAATAAATTATCTTAATAAATTTTCCCCAGCCCAAAAACGATCCCTCCCTGTTCCCCAGCAACGATGTGACTTAATTGAACGCAGTGAAAATAGGTACCTCATGACTGGGAACATGCTCCAGCCACTGTGGGCGGGCCTCAGCACACTAGAGACATAGTCAATTCTCGCCGTATGATTTCGACGGTTTCTTTACTTTTTAAGCTCACTAAGATCCAAAGAAACAACAATTCTGAATTTTGCAGCAATCATCCCGCCCCCTTCTCGAAAGCAGCTCGCTCGTTTTTGGGATCTTTCCCCATTTCGTTCGCTTGCTGCTTGTGGACCTCACACTTGTCCGCGGTTCATATGCTGGTCTGCAACTAATTCGTGAATTTCCACCTTTTCCCGCCCACATCGACACAGCCCGCACACAGCCGGCGCGTAAATCCCGCTTCGATAGCGGAGCTCCTGCACACCTTTGCTTGTTTTTGCAGGTCTCCGGAGTCTGTAGTGGGAACTATTCCACAGATTTGTGCGTTTGGCTCCGCGCGCCTCGCCGCACGCTCTGCAAACTATGGATGTGTCTTGTCTTCTACTTTGGTGACTCGTCTCTTAGCCCAGTCCGTTTTTCCCCAGTGCCTGGGGTGCTCTAGAACCGTTCCATAAAGCTTCGAGTGTTGCTCCGCCCATCTCGCCGCATGCTCCGAACAGGCTACGCGCACAGAGTATGTGCCCCACATTTCTTGGACCAGCGAACCATTGTCAACATTGGTCTTAGCTTTTGCTGTCTCATGAATATTCTATAATATAACCATTTCACGGACTCCTTTGTCTAACTCCGCTTAGCTCGTAGCAGTCCCCGCCCACAACGTGTATGCCCCACTTTCCTCACCGGTGACCCCCTTGTTGATACTGATCTATTTTTTCCAACCTCTGAACGCCGTGTAATCGAATTCACAGACCTTTTCACCTTTATCTACTCCGCCTACCTCAAAGCACTTCTCTCCCACAACATGTGCGCCCCCACTTTCTTTACCAGAAACCTTTTCACCTTTATCTACTCCGCCTACCTCAAAGCACTTCTCTCCCACAACATGTGCGCCCCACTTTCTTTACCAGAAACCTTTTCACCTTTATCTACTTTTTTCCTGTCTTCGGAGTGCTCTGGAACCGTTTCACATAATTTTGGCCGGGCTCCACCCACCGCGGGCCAGGCTCCGCCTACAGCGTCCCCACTTCCTGACTGGCGACCCTCTGCCGACCTTGACTGATGTTTTCCGGTTTTTGGGATGCTCTGTAAGCGGTTCATAGAATTTCTTCTTGGGCTCCACCCATCACGGGGCAGGCGCCACCCACAACATGCGTGCCCGCTTTTCCTAACCGGCGATTCCTTGCTAATCCACTCAATTCACTTTTTTCCCAGTCTCTGAAGTGCTCTGGAAGCACCCTACAAGTTTTTGAAATGGGAGTTGTAAATGAGAGCAAGCTCCATACCATATAAACACAACTCTATGACGTAAACAAACACAACAAAGCAAATATCATATTGCTGTCTTACACATTCCATATCAGAGCGCCTGGAAAGGGTCACCATATACGAAAAGGATTGCTCGCGCTCGGCCCTGCTGTCATAAAGTCGCTGTCTAGTTCTCTTTTCCGCCATCAACAGAAACACTCTACTGCCTTATCGAATATGTCCGTGGTTGGGTGCGCCCATTCGTGGCGCCCTGATATCGACACTGTGTACTGTAGGAATAAATAAATAATAAATGATATCTGAGTAGGGTTGTAGGCTTATGTCAAAAGTAAAATATACAATGCATGTATATATTTATCTGCTTTCACAGCTGTTTTCATTCAAAGTAGTTCAATTCGATATGTTCTATGGATTTTGTAACCGTTAGTAACTGCACACACTCATGACAATAATGAGACCTTTAGTACATATGCATTTCACATACACTTATAGCTAAAGCGTACATATACTCCAAATCCCTGAGATGTGGTGGGCGTGGCTCTTCGGAAGTGGCGTCCGCTGCACTTTTCGTCAGATATTTTCATTTAAAACTGTAGTCATGTCTTGAGAAATACAATAGAAAATGACAGTTGTACAAAGTTGGAATGCCCACGAAGAACCATCCCACACCATGTACAAATGAACTACGCAGCAACCTCGTCTCAGGGATGTGGAATTTGGATAGAGATTGAACAACGATTTCAGAAGTTGTAGGCACCGGAGAGATACACGTATCTCCATAAAAATACCACCAAATTTCTCAAAATAAATTACAATGGGAATATTCCGAATAACCAGGAACGCGTGAAAAAACGTATCCTGTGGTGGAGCAGGAGCAGAATATGTTCGTTTAGCGCCGATCACGCTGACTTTATATGCGCCGCGCACTGAGGTCTGCGCAGAAGTAATGGGACGGTGTAACTTGTGCGTAATGTCTGTCCACGCGAGCAAATGTGTCTATAGGATTCAGGGAGGTCCATGGCGAACCTGTGCACTTGTTTACAGTGTTTTCCGTTGCGTATGATGGAGCGTGTCCCTGTCGACGCTGCCAGATTCGTGCTCCGCCAATTGCTGATTCCGATAAAGGAGACCAACTGGCTGGAAAACGTCTGATACGAACCGATAATTGGTATGTCTTTGTCATTCTGTCGAAAAACAAAGGTTGGCTCGAGCGCGAAGCCAGCCGGATCGCGGACACGCCCATCATCCCGCAGCGAAACGCAAGAAGTATGAGTTGTACTGTTTGGTCACTTACGAGATGATGTCGACTTTTTACATTTGCAGTTATTTCAGATTAGTTTGATGAATGAAAGTTTTGTACTATTTTTTTTACATATCCGAGTTCTCTACAAAGCAAGCTTCGCTGTACAGTACTCAGCACACTGACGCTCGTTACTGGCTACCGCACTCATTACGACCCCCCTCCCCCCCCTCTCCTGGCGCCCAAATACGACCCGCCTGTTGGGGATTCCCCAAGCAACGATGTGCCCTGATGGAAATAAAAACGGCATACTCGTTTGTTTAATAAAAGAAAATCCAAAAAACGTAACTCAAGCGGTGGCTCAGAATAATCAGCAGAATATGACCCTCGCCGCAAGGGTGTAAGCCTGAGAGAATATTGGATAGGAGCAGATTATTCGAAAAGTACAGTATTACTCGAACAAGTAGACTCGAAAGGAGTGCTCAGAATGGCCACTGCACGCGAATGAGCGGCGGTCGAAAGGCTTCCCACCCCCTGCTCTTCGAAATTCCAGCCAATCTGATTTGATTTAATTTGAATTTTTCCTTTCAAGCAAGATCTTGTCAGTATTTCGGATTGGGGATAGCTTCACATCTTGATTTCTGGACGGCATGTGCTCGTGAGTGCGAAAAAATGATCGCGGGCCAGGATGAAGAATCTCCCATGCTAACGGGGAGCGTGGTGACCCAAGTCATTTGCGCAAAACGGGCTTTCTTGTATTTCCCGAGAAGCCATGAGAGAAACAAAATGGGTATCGTTTTCGGTGAACATCTACAATGGAAGAGAAAAACTCATAGTAAATTTGAATGCCTTGGAATCCTTTTGGTACTGTCATCGATACTTATACATTCGCCGTGGCGCAGTCTCTCAAATTGCCGAGTCTCCCAGATCGGTACATCTTTCTTCATAATTGTCAAAGAGTAGGAATCGCCAAGTATGTGGAATACGACGAACAGGAATATATAGGAGAGGGAGCAAGGAAAGAAGTGAACAGTATTACAGGGCGCAGTTTAGGTATGAACGAAAATTGATCACTCAAAGCGCCTCTTAACTCACTCTAGAGCAGTTTTGCCTTAGGTGATGCAGAACAGCGGAAATCGGCATCTCAGAATGTGAATAGTGCTCCTCCCTCGAAATGAAAATTCTCTAATAAAACAATATATCACGTTTGGAAAAATTGTGCTCGGATCGTGAGCCGCGGAGGCCGCAGAGCTGCAAAGAATGAGCTCAGGACATTTGGGGCACGGCATAGGGCACAAGCCAACAACACAGGAAAAAATGCAAAAATTGAAAAAAATAAAAATCCTTGAAAAGTAATGGAAAATTAGTCGATACTATGTAATATAAGATATTTCTGAATCTGACTATTTGGTCTCCAAATTTCTATGCTGCAATTCCCCTTTTTCCCTCCTACCTACTATCCTGTAAACTCTTCGCAGCTTTAGACGGGAGTTCCTGGAAATTTTCTCGGATAAAATTTCTTGTAGCGCGGCAAATTTCTCTCAAAAGCCAATACACCCCTTCCCTCCCTCGCAGCGACTAGCAAATACGACCCATTCCTCATCGGAACTCTCCCAACGACGTGGATAGCGCCAGCAAAACGGGAGAAACCAGCTATGAAAAAGGATTTTACGCAACAAATACAACAACTCTCCCATCCCGTAAGAGAACATGGAATCATGAAAAGATTTTTTTTAATAGTAGTCATTTTCTCAATGTTGGCGAGTCAGTCAGTCCTTTTACACCAAGGAGAATAGCCGGATGATAACTAAATGAAATTTCGTATTTATTCCCTCAGGTAGGGGGGGGGGTCGTCGCCCGTTGAAACGATTTGAATGTTTTCGTCACGGCTATATCATTGCGATACAGAGAATACTTTGAATGACCCTCGGTAACAGTTTTTAAATTGAGGCAATAGGCATTTATGCAATACTTTCTAGAGAGCTTCCATGTTCCAGCTCCTCAGATGTACACTGCACATTCACTTCCGAAGATTCTGCTCCTTGCCATGTGCGAGATGATCGGGTTCGCAGCTGTAGAAATGTAGCTCTCGTCACTCGAAAGCGAGAAGGAGGAGGGTCGTGGTAGCTGTATGCCATTTAGGGCTCCACCTGCAAGTAAAGCACGCACCATGTAATACGCCACACTTCCAGCCATAATCCTAGCCAAGTAATTCGCGTTGTTTGTGCGCCTCCCTTGTGTGGTTGGGGAGCTGTTGCGCTCTGTGCTGCGCCGCAAAGGACTGCTTGCCTTTCAGCCGTTGGTCACTGCTGGACCTCGGTATCGACGCACATTCTGCACCTAGTGTGTATCGGCTGGAGACCCAATCGGTTCACATCCTTAACCGTGCTCCAGTCCCATTTCCACACCCTTTCAAATGACGAGAGTGGCGTATTTCTGAACAGCGGACCCGTTCACCTCGCAGGAATTACTATTCCGTAGGTGAGTGCACACTGCATATTCTGGGGTCTATGGAAAGTTACTAGGAAGTTTTGTATAAGTAAGTGTACAGTTGTCTTTAACGAACAAACCCCGCAATAACATATTGCGCGTAGTGGCGTTCTATTACAATGCTACAGCGGCTAAGTGACTCCATAGGAGGGGATAAAGCCCGAACAAGTTATGGAGTACATTCCCAGTAAGGACTTGGTTGGCCCCATAGCACGGATTCTACGGACCTCCTCGTTTTTGTGCTTGAGTGCTCCCTCCGGTTCAGTCACACTTCTTCGCGTCATCCAATTAGAAGCAAAGAAAAACAAACATGGGAAAGGAATACACTCCACAACACAGATGATCCGTTTCGCTCGGTATCGCAGACGAATCATCATTGTCTAGCCAACCCCCGAGCTCATCAGTGCGATAGGTTGAAGACAAGAGGACATAGACTACATAGGGGAAGGTGTGAGAAATAGGACAAAAAGAGAGAGATTGTAAAAAAAGGGGGTAACATGCAAAGTTCATGCATCAAGATGATGATGAATTACACATAATAATGAAAATTATACATAATAATGAAAGAGTGATATAACACGAAGTGTGCTGTAAATACGTGTGGAAGGAAGGGAAAAGGAGTAAACCGGCAAAACCACTGAGAGAATGTTGAGTATAAGAGAAGGTATACCAGAAATAAATCAATTAAAGTATAGTGGAAAGAAGGGAATTAGTGTTGATCACTGCTGCAAATGAGTAAACCTGTGACTAGTCTATTTATCTTTCTATAGTTATTTGCGATTGAGTACTTGTAACTTAATGTTTATGCATTGAATGTCATTGTCAAAAATGTCATTTTTCAATATTTACAATGTTTATGCAATCTAACAATTAACAGAAAAATACTGTGTTGAAAGTGAACACGTGACAGAAATGACCTTTGAGTTTTGCCGGGCCACAACTGCCACTTAGAGTATTAAAAGACGAATTTCATTTGAAGAAACCTTCATTTTGAAGTGTGAATATCGAATTTTTGATTCCTGGTATGCTGCAATTTGCTCTTTTAACAAAGATCCTTACGAGGATCCCTCCAGGTTCCTATCTCAAGGTCTCAAAACCATCGACTCACGTTGCTCCCATGAGCTTGTATTTTTTTCATAAATTCCTCAGACCACCTTTTTTCTTAAATTTAGGGTATCGTGCGATTGCAACACCCTCAGAACTGCACGGATTTTGGACAGTGTTCAAGAAATTCGGTTCTGGAAAGGTGAGACTGATTTCGAATTTTCGTTCAAGACCTTCAGGTCGGAACGTGGAGGACCTATGTTCGGTAGAGGTTACTCATCAGGGATAAAGAACATTATCCTTCCGTTCACTCTCAATTACAACTCAAATTTCCAGATATATCCAGTTAGATTGTCGTCCGTGACTCTATCCCCTCGTCCTCCCGCGATAATGATCGAAAAAGGACTAAACTCAGAAACGACAAGTAGCGCGACGACTGCTGCCTTCTATAAGTAGTAGTCAAGAATACGCGGGCGAGTGGTTAAGCTCTGAAGATCGGCTGTCTTAAGCGGACGCGTCCTACTCTCGTACTTCAGGACGTCTAGGTGGATGTTGTTAGGCAGTTGTGGCGGTAAATGCACAGGGAAGGTTGGCTTACGCTTATAGGCGAACATCATAAAATTATTTTGCCCCAATGACATTGCAGGGGGTGTGGCGTAATCGGAGAGCAAGGTGTCTTGTTCTAGCCCCTCAGCTATAGTTGTCTGCCCCTACGACTTCAGGAATGGCTCTCATCAGAACAGGGTACTGCTTCAGTCGAGCGATTTCGCAGAACGAAAAGAAGATCGCGATAGAATAGTCTTAGTGCCACATGTGACATGTGTGATGTGACTATCCAAGGAAGGGTTCAGAATGAGTAAATTTGGTCGCGCCCCCAGAGGCAACTATGGGATACACAACTATGAGATCTTCTTAGAAGCTATGCTTAGCTTATAGCTAGGTTTCCTTCTGAAGAAGAAAACGTTCTCTGAAAAATTCCCCTCCCCGTTTTATACAGGGATAAAACTGAGGCAACTCATGTTCGAGAAAGTCTAGCTTGTCCATGGTGTATGGTCGTGTCGTGGTTATTGCTCAGGAGGACACCAATTTCTGACCTGACCTTTTCGTAACAGAAGGCACTTATCTGAATGTATTTTTTCTGCTGTACACGTTGAAAATTTACACTATTTCAGGTGAAATGGGCTCGCTTGTTTGAGCCGTCAATTAAACTAGCCATGAATGGTTTTCCTGTGTCCAGTAACCTAGCCATGCAACTCACTGATAAGGAGGCCCTCATACGAGCAGAACCGACAATGACGTATGTATTTTATAATAAGACTTGCTCTTATAATGTTTATCTAAAAATTTCTATGACTGATTGACTTCTCAGTTTACTCAACGAAGTAGCGTCAAGCAAATCCGTCGGGTACGAAGTTCTGTAGGGAATAAATGATTGTCCACCGGTCAACGTTTGCAGGATATGAAGTTGGCAGAGCGGCTAAGAGCGCAGCATCGACCGTTAGATGTAATATGATTGATTCCTCTGTTGACTTTTTTAGACACTCCCTAGTAGTTTATTATGTGTGAGATGAACTCACAGTGAGACCAAGCTTCATTATACTTCTGTTTCGCTTCGAAATCGACCGGATTAATACAAACATGGGGGGGGGGACAAAAAAGGCACTTTGGACGAGTTACATATCAGTAAGGCTTACGCAGCCCAACAGAAGAAGTGGATACAAGTACCAGGGCGGAAAATGTCCAAGATGTCCCACGATAATCAAGTACGGGCTCTCGTCCTCACCTTCATGTACATCGAAATATGGAGCCTATGGAATTCACGTCGCCTCTGAACAGCTGCGAAACTTCTTGAGTCACCATGGAGAGCTATCTGGGGGGCGGCACTTTTGAGAAGACCTCCAACATCGAACAGCTCTGGGCGGAAAGTAGCGCCGACCAACTCGAGGAGAGTGTCCGGCCTCCATGTCGCCGCCTACACCTTCTTGGAAACTTGGTACTGCTACGGTGCCAGCACATAGAATTGAAGGGCGTTGTAAAAACTCTAGACTTGGAATCGAAGGGCGTTGGAAAACTGAAAAAGACAGAATATTCAAGTGTGCCACCTGCTCTAAACCTCTCCACTACCGTGTTCAAGAGGAGCAAACAGGGTGGTCTACAGTGGGGGGGGATGAACAACCCCGCTGAAATTCTACCACAGAATCACGGTCGCGTGGTAGAATTTCTCGATGGCGCTCGTTTAGAAGGCTGGGGTGAAGTATCGAAATGGTGTACAGTGTGCTGTTAAATGTGAAGGCGAAAATGGCAAACAGAATTAAATAAAGTGTAACTCAAAAAGGCCTTAAAAGTCGGGTGAGAAAAGTGTCTTTTTTGCCCCCCCCCCCCTCAGA